GTAGTCTAAACGGGATGATGTAAACGCGTGAATAATCAACTCAAGATCAGCTTTAGACACCATTGTTCTGAGTTTAGAAATTTGTCTCAAGTGGTAAAAACAGTTTCTAGTTAACTGCTTTGAGTGATGTTCAAGAGACATTCCCTTGTCAAAGAAAACTCCAAGGTTTCTAAGGGTAGGTTTTACAGACAAACTCAGATCACCTAACTGCTGGTGAATCCCTGGAACAGCATCATCGGGGGCAATCACCAGTACTTCAGTTTTGTCTGAGTTCAGCCGTAAGGCATTTGCACCGAGCCACTGTTTGATTCGCTCAAAACAAGATAATAGAGAATGCAATTTTTTAACGTCAGAAGGCTTGAAAGAACAATACAGCTGAAGATCATCAGCAAAGAGATGATAGGAAACATCATCGGCAAACTCCTGGATTAGGTTTCCTAAAGGAAGGATGTACAACAAGAACAAAACCGGGCCCAAAACTGAGCCCTGGGGTACTCCACACCGTAAATCAGTTGGGTCAGACAGGATCTGGTTGACTGAGACACTTAGGCTTCTCCCGGATAAATAGGACGTAAACCACGCCAGGACAGAACCTGACAACCCAACCAACTCGCGGAGCTTACTCAGCAAGATCTCATGGTTAACCGTGTCGAATGCGGACGAAAGGTCTAGTAAAACTAGGACCGTGCATTTCCCAGAGTCTGCGGACATCAAGATGTCATTGGACACTTTAAGCAGCGCAGTTTCCGTAGAGTGGTGCTTACGGAAACCGGACTGAAACCTGTCAAAGATATTGCGATCCTGTAAGAAGGAAACCAGTTGTTCAGATACCACTTTCTCTAAGACTTTGGACAGGAAAGGGAGTTTTGATATCGGTCTAAAATTTTTAGGATCTGTTGGATCCAGATTAGATTTTTTGAGTAGGGGTTCCACAAAAGCATGTTTAAAACAGCTAGGGAAAACGCCAGAAGAAAGGGACAGGTTAAACATTCTGGTAACCCAGGGACCAATGGCATCAAATACTTTTGAAAGGAGTTTACAAGGTAAGACATCAGCCAGGCAAAAAGAGGGCTTCATTGTGGTTACCAAAGCTAAAATATCATCCTGTGTTACAGGTGAGAAAGAGGGCCACGCGTGCGCAGGAAGTTCATCAATATCATCATTACATGACTGAAAAGATGGGAGTTTGTCTTTGATATTTTGAATTTTATCAACAAAGTAATTAAGGAATTTGTTTGCATCTGCTTTGTTGAAAACAGGTGTAAGAGGCGCAGCAGGAGCCACAATAGAGCTAATAGTGTCAAATAAAACTTGTGGTTAGAAATAGCATCTGTTAGCATCTATGTTAGCGTCTGTGTTAGCGTGTTGCTAAAATCCTGAATCAGCTCCTGGTGTGTGAGTGACCACCTGACTCACCTGTTTTTGTATTACTTTACATGTTTCTGGAGTTAATGAGAATTTATTTAAAGAAAAAGAACTAGCTTTAATGGTTTTGAGATAAAAGTGGGTTTTTTTCTGTTTTAATTTGGTATCACTGTGATTTATCTACCATTAGACACAGAGGTGTTCTACAAATATTTATAACGTTAGCATGTTAATAACTGATCGGTGTTGTGGAACATTTTAAGCCCAAAAAGGTTTTCAACATAATGTCTAACTTCTGATTAAAGCCTTTTTTTTTGTTATTTGTAAAATAATTTCTAGTTAACACAAGTTTTTTTTCAAATTAAATAAATATAATACCTCATGTTAAAAGAAAAGTGACAACAACCTTCTACGCTTTCATTTTTTTCATTTATTAAACCTTTCTTTAACCAGGAAAACCGTTTGAGAACACCTTCTCAAACATGAACTAATTTCACTGATTATTTAAAATCTTCAACCCAAAGATTCTGCTAAGAATTTTTGGGCCTTTAAAGTGAAATAGTGGCATTGCTGTAACACATTTAGTTGTACCAAAAGGGCCAATTTTCACCTATATATTGACCTTTCATCTATAGAAATAAATCCACTTTCTATTTGGCCTTCCAAACCCAGAAGGTTCTGCAGTGCTTGTTTACATACCATGAAGACAAAACAATCAAACAAATATTCTCACCCAAGGTTCTTGCACTCACTGTGTGAACGCCAGACGTCAACCTTCTTCACTCTGAATAAATGAAGACTCCATGATTTTACAACTCATAAGCTTACAATAATCATATGTGATGAATGAACAAGAGGTTTAAATCAAATGTTTGAATAACCTGTGCTTAAATCAATGATGGCTTTAAAATGAATATTGTTCTTAGAAAGATCCATTTATATTACAAATCACTATGTGTTTGATTTAACAAGTTAATCACTGTTTACACTCATACACATCACATAAGGTTAAAGATTCTTATTCACAGTGTTAAGAATCTTGTATCTGAGGAGGGCGTGGCTTTCTGAGGGATGTTGGTAAATACTCAGAAACGTGTCAAATCCTGCTTGGCCGCACTTGGCCAGAAATCATAACAAAGTAGTTTAATAAAAAAAGAATTACTTCATGAGTAATTCAGTTTCTCGCTGACCCTCGAACAGGCCAGTTCGGGACAGAAGCCTTTTTGAAACCATCTTCTCCTTTGACCTCCTGTCAAAGCCTCTCTGCAACGCTGAGGCTGACACCAGACAACCGGCTCTCTAAGAGCCAAGCAAACATCAACCTTAGAGGCAAATAAGCATTCCAGCTTCCTGCCTTCACCTCGAGGGATCTCAGACTGAACGGGTCTTATCGGAACTGTCTACGGGTTCCTGATATCAGAGGTTTACTCCACCGGCAGTGACCATCGACCCCCCCGGATCGAACGAGAACCTCCACACCAAGGGTGCGTAGACTTGGCACGACAGATTGCGTCTGATGCTGGTTTTAATAAACAACTCTCTAGTTTAGAACCAAACGACAAATTCTTTTACACCCAGATTTCACAATTTCTCTCAGATACAAAGAAAGGTTGCTACAACATCTAGCTTCCATCATAACACCTCAAATCCACCACATCACATCTCATTATTCATATCTTGTCATATATAAATTGTTAGTTTAGGAAAAATAATTCAATTCATTTTATAAACTATATACTTGACTCTGTCGGAATTAATACGAAGTGTGTTTATGGTCCTTAAAGAAGTAAAGAACCCTTGTATCCTCTGATTAAACATTCAAAGATCAAGCAAATTGATATTTCATATTTGTATGGAATCATCACATCTTATTGGTCATAATTAATATGTTTTAACTGCTACAGTTGTGAGATCAGATTTCCCACATTTAGGCATCATATTGGTTCTGGACCAGCGGTGTCAATACAGAGCTGGTTCTGGTCAGGACTGGTGACAGAACACGATCTAAACTGAAAGTGACAATTTTGGTCCTCTCAACAGTTCCAACAAAAACCTGACCCACTGCTCAAAGGAACTGCACTTCAGAAATATAATCATTATAACTGTTATCAGTAATTAATCAGGTTTAAATGATGAATCATCGGTTTGTACAAACTGAATAATCTGTTATGTATGTTTCTATGTTTAGAGTCAACATTATGGTAGATATCCATCCATGTCTTGATTTAACATTGGTAACAGGTTTCCCTTTAAGCTGCTCTTTATGCTAAGCTAATGCTAATCCATCAGATGTAATGTTTATTTCTTTAGATCAGCACTTTTCCTCCTCTCACTGCTGCTAGAATTCTTCACCTGACTCAAACAACAAATCAATCTGTTCCGTGTCGCGCTGCCTGTCCTCGTCTCTCTCTTCGGCAGAGTGGCAGCTGCAGGTGAAAACAAAGGGGAAGTGACAGCAGGAGTTAACCCGTCGCTGCCCAACACGCCACTCTGTCAGCTCTCAAAGCAGAGCTTCTCCTCCCGCCGCGGTTCTGCTCCGATCAGAACGTCTGGGAGGGAACCGCTGCAGCCTTATTGAGTTTTGTGTTGAATAAATGAATATGTGAGAGGCAGGCGGGAGGAGGATGCTTGATGTTCCACTCTGGCTGTAAATCAGACCATCAAACAGGCCAGACACTGTGTGCTCACTATTAGTATCAATTTACAAACAAACTGCTTTTTTGGTGACTGGATCTCCGATGTCAGATTTTGATAAATGGTTTCAATTTGGCAGCTGCTTTGGAGTGTCAAGGCCCATCTGAGCTCGGCGCCAGCACCGCTGCTCGCTGCCTCCCAGAATCTGCCTCAGTTAGCTGCTCGGAGGAGGCTGCAGCCACAATAATCTCTTCATGCTAACAGGACACCTGACGGCTGCACAGCTGTATGCCAAGGCTACGGGTGAATACAAATATCAGTCCGGGAGAAACCGGTTGCATCTCTCTGGGTTTCCCATGGTTCTGAATTGTGACCTGCATGCTGACCTTTACACCAGGATTCACCCTTTAAACAAGGCAGAAAAAGCCTGTTTAGAGCTCAGCTAAAGATGTTCTCATGGCTCCTTAATCAACTGATCGACAGGAAGAAAAACTTTTACAGAGATGAAAAAAAAGGCGTACAGTAGCTCTGTGATGTTTCTTAGAGAAGAATCACAGAACAAGTTCAGGAAAACCACAAACAGCAACAAATGTAGGACATAGATATGTGTTTTAAAACTGGATAAAACATTCCTGATCACCATCCTGACTCCGCCCTCCCACTCACAGGAGGAGGAGCCACAGGGAGACCTATCCTCAGAAACAGCTGTTTCCTGTTTCAAGCTTGTGAGCACTGTGGTCAAAGCAAGTATAAAACACAATGAGCAGGTGCAATTAGGCACTGCATGTCTAGATCTGTGGTGGTCTACCATGTCCTCAGAGGGACAAAAAACGCTGTTCTCTGAAAGAGTCCTTATGTGTCTGAAACCAGATTAAAACCAGCCAGTGAGCAGCTCTGACTGACAAGTGTGCTGAACCTGCCGTGCTTAACAAAGTACACGCCCACACCTGAAATATGACCTCTGACCTTTGCTGCTCTCTTAATAATTCTACTCCACTGACCTTTGGTAACCTCTCGGGGTCTCCAGGGTGACGAGGGATGACCTTCTGTAACCTCTGGAAGCCGTAGTCGATGGTCGGCTCGTTCAAGGCTGCAGGTGAAAGAGAGGAAATACACAAAGACATGTAAACACACAAAAACACACAGCAATGTCATTTCAGATCAAACTGTTAAACAAAGAATTAAAAGTAATAAATAAATTAGCAAAATAACAATGAATAAGCCCCAAAACACAAGGAAACTTAGCCATAAAACAGATGTAAAATAATGATATTATTCTTAATTTTAACGTTAACTAGTACGTTTTTGTTTAAAAGTCTAAGTATTATTTTTGTCTAAATGTTTTGCCAAATTGAGATTCTCAGACCTTAGAATAATGACTTGTAAATATTTGAGTAGTTTCTGTCTTTTCTGTTGTGTGTTTTTATGAGTTTGTCTTTACCAAAGGTTTTCCACACACACGTCCTTCAGGGTGCTTTCTAAGATCTTCTACACCTTGTTTTAGTCTTTAAAGTGAGTGACTCCATGGATTCCCTAGATCAGAGACAAAGCTCTGAAAGGTTCTGAATACAGAAGATTATTTAATTAACCACACAAATGTTTTGTGATGAAACCTTTTTATAAATAACTTATTCTGTAAAATAAAAGTGGGCCAGCTGGTTGCTCTGGCTTCAGTCGGCGGATTCATGAAGTTCTGGTGCGTGTTCCAGAGGGTGGTGAGGAGAACCTTCCAGAACCACCTGAGACCTCTGAGTGATCTTCACTCTGTAGCCTGCTATTAGCCACGCGCTAACGGAGAAGCTGTTTATTAAGTGAGCCACTTCTCGCTCCTCGCTCCAACGCTAATTCAATCCAACCTCCATCCACACAACCTTTCTTTCCTTTCTTTCTCCTCCATTTATTCACCTCTCCAAACAATCAGCCTTCCTCCTCCTCCTCCACCTCAGAGCTGGAGAAACACCCGGAAATGAGTTCAGGGAGATACTTCTCCATAATCAAGCCCATTAATCATAAAAGGCTGTCAAATTTGACTTTGGGGACAATTTGTCAGCCGATCTTGCCCACTCGGCTTTTGTCACCGTTGGCTCTTGTATCCTGTAAGGATGATTGACACTCCAAACGCCGCTGAGTAGAATAGCTAGTTTGTGCTAATATGCATAAGCGCAGCTTTCATGAATAAGAATCAGGCAGCACAGAGGGGTCTCCTTCAAAGGCCCCGCCGCCGTTTGTCACCAGCGCTCCAAATAGATGTTATTACCATTATAACAATATTTGTTTTCTTTCCCGGGAATGGGCCACGGCGAGCTGCTAAATCAAATTTGTTGGAGCCGTTTCACGCGGCGGCGGAGGAGAAAAGGGGCTTTCAGGCTTTGACTGGGGCGGGGATGATTCCTGAAGGGTGACAGAGCGCTGAGGGACACGGTCTCGCCGTGTTCTCGTCTTCCTGCCCCTCTCAGAAGAATCTATTACCTCCATATGCTGCCAATGGAACAGGGATTCATCCCAGGTTCCCAGAGAGGCTTTTTGGAGGATGTAAAGAGATAATGCAGCAGGACAACCGGAGCAGCAATCAGCTGCAATTCCCAAACCTGATCAGCTCCAGAAGCCTGTACAAACACCCCAACTTATAAAACAAGTGAAAGGCTCCATGGAAGCCACTGCAATAGAATCAAAATCCCATTTAGACTGCAAGGAATATGAGAGGGAAGGGTCTGATCACATTTGCTGCAGCTTACTGCACTCCTGAGGAGATATGCGCACCTCCAAAAGGTCCAAGTTATCACATCCATCCAGCCTCCCTGATTAACAGCAGAACCCAGATCAGAGACACCGGATCAGAACATGAAAAACCTCTGAGTCTGCAGCGACTCCAACACAAGCCTGTTAATGTGACTAAACGTCTCACTCAAAAGATCTGATCAGAACCACAGGGTTCTGTTGTGTCTCACACCCGACAGAGATGCTTCTTCCCCATCATAGCCTCCACCACCGTTTACATCGTGATGCCTTCACTGAACCTGCTGTTTCTATAAGTCCTGGACCGAAGAATCCACCTTCCTGCTTTCTTCCATGTTTTCAAATCAACGGGAGAGACAGACCAATAGAGACATTTGGTCCATTCTGGTTCCTCGGGTACTTCACCTGCCAGGTGTAATCCCCTCATAAAATCTGTCCAACAGATCAAATTACAGAAAATAAGCAGGTCAAAGGAAATCAGAATTAACTCATTGACATCTTGTATCAAACAAATTAAATTTTATCATTTTATTCCTCTAAATGTCATCACTTGAGAGTGGCCATCTTTGTTTTACATTAAATGAAGATGCAGACTGAGAGAACGCCTCCTCTCAAGAGGAGGAGCAAACTGCCCTGTAGTGAAAATAATGCATCGGTTAGTGATGAAGCTGGTTTCATTACTTCCTCTTATTAAAATCTCACTGCCCTTTGACCTCAGACCCCGATTGGCTGCCTGCAGGGCCCATGCTCCTCCCAGCCAATCGATATCTGCTGCTTCCCTGCTCAGAGCCAGATAATTGGAGAACAGCGGCTGGTGGGGTGAACCTTGATCTCCACTGCCGCCCACCCCATGCTACCATTCCAGACATCAGCGCCACTTTCTATGTCCTAATTCATATTGATTTCTGTCTCCTCCTTCTCTTTCTGAGTGAGGAGAGGCAGCACTTTATCACTCTCTTGCTGTCTGAAGCTTCTCAGGAGGTGATAAGAAGGAGGAGAAGAAGGAAGGTCCTTCAGATATTTAATCAAGTTTTTATCAAAAAGGGTCAAATATCTGGTTGGTGTCCTTTCTGACCAGAGTGCTCAGTGAGACAGAGGAGAAGGCGAGAAGAACGTCCAAATGCAGGTTCAAACAGCTCCTGGTAGAAGGAGGTCCCAGATGTCTCCTGGTAGAGACCAGATTATGAACCAACTTCAAACATCTGACAAAAAGATGAGAACATTTCCACATACAGAAAAACACAAAGCTACTAAAAACCTTCAGAGTAATAAATGTAATATAGTAATAATAATGTAATAAAACATTTAGAAGCCCAAAGGAAACTTCTAAAAAGGCTTTAAAATTACTCAACGACATAAAACAACTGATAAAACAACAGAACTATAAATTTCAAACAAAGTTGGACGTAATCTACCCGATAACAAAAACATCCTAAATGCTAAAATACAAAATAACTCACCAAACTCAAACAGAGACAAGCTAAAACTAAAACTAATGAAATTCCTCAAACTCACAAAACAAACATTAAACACTTCTGAAATGGGACAAAATGGAAATGATTGTTTTTCTTTATTCTAGTAAATAGCTTGTATTTATATAGGGCTCTAAAACCTCCTAAGGCCCTTTACAAGACAACCATTGATCCACCCACACCCACACCCACACACACACACGCACACGCACACGCACACGCACACACACACACACACACACACACACACACGCACACGCACACGCACACGCACACGCACACGCACACGCACACACACACACACACACACACACACACACACACACACAGGTGACGATGCCCCGGGTCGCACTGACAGAGGCGAGGCTGCTGTGCACAGGCACCACCGAACCCTCAGACCACTACCAGCAGGCAAGAAGACTGAAGTGTCTTACCCAATGACCGTGGCAGACTCAGTGGGGTGTAAACCTGCAACCCACTGGTTAATGATCGGGTACTTAACTCCTTCCCCACTGTCGCCTATTTTGTCAGTTGAGGTTTCGCCAAAACTCATCTGAACGTTGAGCATGGCTGTGAACCCGCAGGGTCAGAGGTCAGCTGAGCACCATCCTCCTCCTTCTCTCCGGGACCAGTTGGCTGATCTCAGATCAGGGCAGAGCAGATCCAGGTTACCTCGACAGGCTGGTTACTACGCCTGCCTCAGTTCCCATGATTCACCAAGGCTCTGTGCTTTAGAAGATCTTTATGCACCCCACCCCTCCCAGCAGCTTATTTACCATGGTCTGTTTCATTCGCTTTCCTCTGAGTGTTTTCTACACTGCTGGGTTAAACAAATTTACCAGCCAGAGATGGAATATGCACTCAGGAGAGGACGGGGGAGCTGCCTACCTTTACCTCACAGCTTTAGTGCCGATGGCCTGCTCATACGATCCCGATGAGCAGATAAACCCTACGTGGCTTCTTCCTGCATCACCCTGATCATTTCAAATAGACGACAAATTCCACATGCAGTGGCCACCTCCCCAGACGCCGTGTCTCTCCAGGACCGGTGATTGATGGAGGTCAGTGCAGCGCAGCGCTCTGTTTTGTCAACAACCGGGGGTGGGGGGGGGGGGGGGGGGGCTGATGTACATGCAACATGCTGATTTGTTTTGCTGCTTGTTGAGTGGCCACCAGGCAGCAGCAGGGATGAGGACATCAAAGGAATCGGGTCTTGCTGACCCGCCGCTTTGTTCTGTCAACGTTCAATTCATCAGTCGCCACCCAGCAACAGTTCGGAGGGAAGCTGCGCCTGAAGCCACAGCTGATTATCTGTGACTGACGGAGGAAATAACACACTCAGGTTCTGGTGATGGGTTTAAAATCTGAAGGGAGTGAGAGGCCAAAGTTCAAAGATGATCCTCAGATGTTGGAGGGAACAAAGCATCTGAAGTGTTCCTCGTTACACCTGCCAGGTATCCCCACCTCCTCTCTGAACGCCTATAGTTCTTCTGCTTCCTCCCAGAGGAGCTGCTGATTGGAGGTTTCTCCTGCCTAGATCCAGCATGTTAATCAGACAATAATTACTCCCTGTGCCTCAAAGAAATAGGCCCCCCCACCTGAGAAGTTATTATTTTCTGGAGCGGTGGAGATGTGGTAAAAATGACTTGCCATTGGTCCCAGAAGTCCTGGTTCTGTAAGTGGAGCATTTCTCTTTCATATCTGAAACGTGTTGGGTCCCCTGATGGAGACGACTATTAAAAACATCAGATCAAAGCAGAGTTTTAGAGACATGCTTCAGCAGACATTCCATCACTCTACAGGTGAGACTAGAGGTGGTTCCACCGTCAGAAAATAATCTCCCAGGAAAAGATTAAAATCTATTCCTAAAGCAAATGGAACCAGAACCTGCAGCTTTGGGGGCTTTAAATCATGTTTCCTCCACACAGCTGCTGCATCAGACAGATGTAAGCTTCAACAAGATAAACAAGTGGAGGAAAAAGTGATTCCACTCTCCAACTCCAACAAGAGGGATTAACTCAAATTGTTCTGCACATCTCACACTAAAAATTTTTTATTCTGTCAAAATTTCCCTTTGAAAAAAAATGATACAACAAAAGATTATCAAACCGTTTCCCATCCTAAGGCCAGAAACAACAGAGACTCTGGGATTTAGGTGTTTGACGCTAGAATGTGTCCGCCTGATTTTATTTCCATGTAGCAGAGTTATTTATTCTGGAACGGGAGTGGAGTGTTTTAGTCATTTTTCTCTGAACGTCACCTCGAGTGGAGCCATAAAAGACGACGAGCTGCCTTTTGTTTCTGCCGGCTGCTGGAGCCGAACTGCTGCCCGTTACACATAATTACCTCCATGTGTTACTCTGACAGTAATTAAACAATAAAAATTCAGAAGTCAATTAGCGGGTGATGCTTCAGATTTGTGGAGGGGAGGAGAGGGGAGGAGAGGGGGAAGAGGGGAGGAGACAGCAGCAAAGCCTCCCACAGAAAACTGCAATAGTGCAGCTGGAAGTTTAACCATGTTTACAAACAATCCAATGGTTCAGGTAACTGGTCACATGACCTCAAACGGACTCTCTGATTGGATGATTTCAGTGATGTAACTCTGCTCCTGCAGGTCCAGACCATCTTCATCATTTGACCCCTGACCTTTGAAGTTTCCACATAGATGATTAATGTATATAAACCAGCTTGACTGTTAGATCACAGCAAACCCTGAATGGACTGAACTCCAGAGGGTCTAACCACCCAGTCCAGAACCAAGACACCCAGACAACAGAAGACAGACCCAGAACCTGCAGGATGGGTTCCTGCTGCTGGCTGGAGAGGTCATGGCTTCAACCCATAAAACCAGAATCATCAAAACCTTTACTCAACCTGATCAGAATCTGATCTAGGGTCAGTCAAAGTTGCAGCCAAACTTCCACCTCTTCCTGTCATCTCAGCCTGACTAAATCATCTTTCTTCCTCCTCTCCTGAGATCAGGTGCAGCTGCAGGAGGAGTGAGGAGGAGCAGTAGAGATGAAGAGGGTTAAATTAATGAGGGAGCCTGGAGGTATTGACTTTCCTGGGAAAACACAGCTCCCTGAAATCAGTGGCCAAGTGCCGCAATAACTCAGCACCCATCGATCCCTCCTCCTTCTCCACCTCCGTCTCCTCACTAGTCCTCGCCCTCAGGCCACATTGATCCACAAACTCTGAGGCGGCTGGTGTCAACCCAGCAGTGCCGCTCGACCCATTCAAGATCCACAGTCATGGGACAGGAGAAGCCCTGGGCCCTGAAGCAACAATAAGACATGGGTACCACCAGGTACCACCTGGGCCTACACAGTACCAGGTGGTACCACAGTCTGGTACCACTGAACTGTAGAAAACAGACCAAATCAGCTTCTTCAGGTAGAAACATTTTAATTTATTGAGCTGTTTAAATTGTTTTGTGTCGCGGTTATTTTTCATTTAGTTATCGACCTGTTTTTAATTTGAACCTCCAGCTGTTACCAGGCAACAGCACGTCTGTCGATAAACTGTTGATAAATAAAGGTGAGCTGCAGGAGGCACCACTTGGTTCTGGGCCTGGAAAGGTGGAAGTTAAATATAGAAGATGATCAGAGAGCATCAGGATGGATCCGTTCCTCCTTTCAGAGCAAAATGGATCTGGTCCTCCTCTCAAAGCAACAGGACAGATTGTTTCCTCCTTCTAGAGCAACAGTATGGATCTAGCTGCAGCACAGTTTCTGCTCTCTCTATCTCTCTCTCCTCCTTGACATTCTACAGAGCATTTCTCGCCTTCGGCCTGTTTCTCAAAGTGGAAATGAGAGATCAAATCCTCGAGCTGCTTTAAGCCATGGGGAGGAAGAGCATTGGGAATGTGGGAAACACTCAGATCTCACTGCACATGACTTCACCTTCAGTTGCACCTAACAGGCAGCAGGAGGATGGAGGAGCCTGTTGGCTCTGTCAGGATGGAATCCTGGACTTTGATTGGCTGGAAGGTGGTCGTCTCAAACAGACACCAGATCAAAAACATCCAGCCTTCAGGAAGCTTTTACATCCTCCTGAAAAACCAATAAACCCATTTAGATTTCCCAGAAAAGGAAACTCGTCCTCCTTCTGATCAGCAACCTGAAGAAGAACCTCCTGGAGCTGAAGCAGGATCACTTGACTGATAGGAGGCAATCTGGGATTTGCTGAAGAACAATTACAGTCTGATGAGTTCAAACCAAGCCCCCACAATGTGGCTCTAAAACTGAGGCAAACTCGGAAATGAAATAAATTGCAGTTCCACCCTCATCCGCTGGGGGCTGGTGTCAGAAGTGAGCAAATCCTCATTGACTCCCATGTTAAAAATACCAATTTCACAGCAGAAATGAACATGTTTACAGCCTGGTACCAGAACATGTTTTTTGTTTAAATTATCTAGTTTACACTCATGACAACTCTGAGGGAGGTGAATTTTTTTCTCACTCTTCTGTTTAAGTGTATTAAAAGCCTAAAATTCTGTATAATTAATGAGCATCAGACCCACGTGACCACAGAGCTAGCTCCGTGGAAAGGCCTCAGTAGAGCCTCGGTCTGGCCTGGAAACTGCTCCGGGATTTTGAGTCTCTGTGTTTGTGTATTCTGTTTTGGATATTTTTGTGCAATTGTTGGACAAAATGACTTGCTGTGGTATTAATTGCACTAATAGAGCGTCCAAGGAGTCTCCACTTCATTTTTTTTGGTAAGTAAAATTATATTTATGTATTTTAGGTCACTGCCGAGCTGAGCTTGGATTTTAACATGTACTGTTTAACCATGAAATTTAAATGTAATAGGGTAAAATCCAGTGCATTTAACATAATGCTGCACTTTAGAAAATGGGTTGAAATATAACATGTTGGTGGAACTGGGTTCCGACTATCGGCTTGTGGAGCTCTCGAGAGACCGATGTTTTCCACCCGGTTTTACCCAGCGGTCAGCCCGGCGTACCTCTGACTCAGAAGCTCTGGTGTTGTGCACAGTTAACTCCGGTTGTAGCTAGGTTGCTACCTCTGTTAGCTTAGCTCCCACCTCCGCCTTAGCTTTGGGTTAGCTTCAGGTTAGCTTGTAGCTAGTTTGACCGGGTGTCGTCAGTTGATCCCAGCCTTACAGCCCCACCCTCAGCTCCACCTCTCTTCCCTTTTGCGGAATTGTCTGGGCTTGACGGAACCTGTGACACGGTCAAAATGGCGGTGGTGGCCACCTCCCATTTATCTTCAAAAATGTGTTATTGGAGTCTATGGAAACCCATTGTCCAATATTTATATGTCGATGGTTCAAACCTTACATCTCATTTGAATTTATCAAGAGAAAAAAATTGGACCTGTGATCTGATAATATGACCTTGTCTCCTTCCGTTCAGTAACTGAAACAAACCAAAAGTATGTTACCATAGAAACAATCAACAATATTCAAACATCTAACAAAATATCCTGAAAGTTTTTCATGCTAGAAGGATTCTGGCTAGTTTAGGACTGTGTGAATGGGACTGGAACCAGCAGCCTCAGTCTGAAGTCAGTGAAACATTTTGGAGCTTCCATAGACTCTCACTCTTAGCTGAGAGATTCAAACTGATTTATGATGTTTTTGGTGATCGGTCTGATATTCATAAAGCACCTGGCTGCTGACACACTGAGCCTGCTCCGTAAATCACATGACACCATGCAGGGGAGGAAAACTGGAGGAACGTGTAGGTTTCAGGCTTGCGATGCCTTCAGGGAAACTCAGTCTTACTGTTCCTCATCAATCAAACTGAAGTCAGATGTTTCTGCACTCAGTCTGCAGATTTTTTTTGTTTGTTCAGATTTGAGACAAAAAAGTGTTTTAAAATCATAAAAACATGTTTTATAAATGATGAGCTGACTTTTTCTTGGCATTTCAAAAATAAGGAAACAGAATGAAAATGGTACTGGTTGTTTCCTTCAGAGTGGATGTACTGTGATGCTGTAACTTGGGGGATGTTTTCTTATAAAAGCAGAACATTGTGAAAACCAACAAGTTTAATCTCTCAAATCTCTACATTTCCATTAGATGACCAAAAAAGTGTGAGCTGTCAACCTGGCATTTAAGTGAACTTCCTGTGTTTGTGTCCGTGTGCAACCCAGGACTTCCGGTCCTCGCAGCTGATGTGAACATGAGGTTTGGACCTCCAGCGTGTTCCTGAGGAGCAGAACATCCTCCAACATTAGCTCTATTCACAATATGCCTGCACATTAAAGCAAGCTCTCAGCTCTTGTCACTCATATCTGAAAATGAAATCTCAGATTAGAATTGCAAAAGGAGGCAGTCGGAGAACCCATTGTGAGGGTCCGACTCCTTGGTGCCAACGGAGGAGGAGGCGCCAGTGATAAAGATGAGGCCGGGAGGAAGAGGCAGTGATAAACTGGTGTTGGACAGAAAACCTGAAGGCGCTCACCTCTTTCACAACGCAATGACATTTACTTATCGCACCAAACAGCCTCCATCTGACCTTTCTGCTACTTTGAATGACATCTGGATATTCTGACAGAATAATCATCTGCACTGATGTGAGAAGAAGATACAAAGTGACAATGAGTCTGAAGGACGAGATGAGAATGAGAGGAAACTCCTGGGAAAATGTTTACTCGAAGTGGGATTTGTGGAAAACAAGAGTGATCCTGAGTTTTACAGCAACATCACAAACGGGCGGAAGCCAGAAGTGAAACTCATCTGATGGGAGTTTTAAAAGCTCAGGCATGAGAAGGTTATTTAAACTCCCACAAACCTGCAGCAGGTTCAGCAGTGTGAGTGAAAACTTTATTTACCGGTGTAGACGAAGCGTCCCGGTGCTCCTTTGCAGAACTGTTTGGACTTGTAGGACAGCGTGACCTCCACGACCCCGGGGATGTGCCGAGGGGGGGTCTGGACTCGGATGGCGTGAGGCGTGATCAGCTGTGTCACAGGAAACAAAACAAACTGGTAAAGTTTGAATCTAATAAAGGTAGGAACAACCGATATTTCAAAATAATACATTTGGCTCTTGATTTGTTTGGTGAACTCAATTTAATCCATCACACAGAACACAAAAGTTTTAGTCTTCTGTTAATCCCAAAAACACTATTTTAAATCAGGTAAACCAAACAGTTGCTCACGATTTTTTGTTAAAATGTATCTGACGCAAACTGGCTTTATTTCTCAAATGAAAAGCAGGAAATCCCGGACAAGCCCCCAAAAGTTAATATCTAACAGTTTAAATCAGCAAAGAAGTGAACCTAAGTGACATAAAAAGTGAGAATGTGAGCTAGAGCAGAAAGAGATTTTTTATTTAAACACACACAAAACTCCCTGTTGCTGACGTTCTTTTCTTATAAACGTAAGAGTTCTGATTAATCGCATAGAACATCTCACGAACAGAACGGTGTTCCTCGAAAATCCATTCTGGTTCTAATGTAACTACGTGTTTAGCTCTGGGTGTGTTCTGGATCACAGATACATTATTTGTATTTACTGTTAAAGCATATAACGAACAAATAAACGTACTTCGTCTGCAAGGCTAACCTCATGTTGAACTAAAAAGAGAAATAAAGAGTTTTAAGAGACAAAAGCATTCCTTTAACACAAGCCCTTTTAATGGAAACTTAGATGTTTTGTTCCAGGAGTTACTCCTATGTCAGTGTAGGTCCTGAAATCAGGAATCCTGCTTGAACATAAACCAACTAGGCTAGGAACAGAGGTTTTGTCTTTAATTAAACTGAAACTCTTCTTCACGTCTGATCAGTTTGATCTTCTGAGTCCAGGACTCCTTTGCAGGAGAAACATCTGGAGTGGCACCCAAGAAGAAGAGTCTGTATTCATGCTCTGCAGCAGAAGGCCCTTCTTCCCTCCAATCTGGGTCAGCATGCACTAGGTTCAGAGGGATTCTGGGCATTGGAGTTTGTGTGCTCGCCGCCTGATGCTGCTGATCAAAGCGAGGAGCTCCATCAGCAGCGTGTGATGTGATGATGCGAGGTGGATCTCAGCTCCTTCCCCACCAGGTGTTCTGTTCCTCTGGATCGACTTCAATATTTCATGCAGCGACGTATGCGCAGCTCCTCCTGCAGCTCCACGACACGCCACATCTGCATATTTATCGGGACGAGGAGCCACGACAGTTACAAATGCAGGTGTCCTGGTAAGACGAAAGCTGGTGAAGATGTGTGGAGGATGAAGATGTGCAGCTGTTCTCACTAAAAGAATGTTTTAAATTTTTGAAGCTCTTGTTTGATTCGCCTGATAAATGACTGCAGGTGAGACACGTGAAGGCCTGACAAAGGTCCAGTCAGGACCGAGACGCACAGAACTACACATCAAGCTCCAAAAATTAAAAAGAACATCATAACTACAAAAACAGACAAGGAATACAATGTACACAAAATAAACAAAAAAGTATGGAAGGAACATAAACAATAAACACAACAACAAAGCATAGGGATGACTTTAAAACACAAGAAGCACAAAAAACACACAAAACATCAAATAAACAGTAAAAAAATAACACAAAATGAACACAAGATCCAACAAACAGGCACACAATCTGAAATAAACCCACAACAAGCAAGACACAGAGAAGGTTTCTGAAACTAAAGAGACTCAGAGATGAGGCCAGTTTTGTTCCTGATCCGGATCCTGACCTGGTTCTGTCTCATCATCCAGCTTACTGTCCACTCTCATTTTGTATGAGAAACAATTCAGTCCTTAAGAAAACAACTTTTTGTTTAGGCATCACCAAGGGAAATGATAAAACCCTGAAGACAAGTTAACGAGAGGCAGAAAGTGGTTCCTCTGACCTCGCTCCACACCAGCATGGTCCCGAAGACCACCTGCAGCCCATCAAAGAAGTTGTCCCCGATCAGGATCACTGTGGCGCCGCCGGTCGTCCAGCCTTCACTGGGACTGATGGCTTTGATGCAGGGCGTGGCTGCTTCGGAAACACAGCAACAAAACAGCAGCATGAGTGACTGCAGAACATTCAAACGGGCTCTTCCGGGTTCTGGTCTCTGATCATTTAACTGCAGCTAATTAGAATTAGCTGCAAAAAGAGACCAAAACTTTCAACTAAACTTTATGTAAACACATTAGGCTGACAAAAGGCAAACACAGACATGCACGCACCCAAATAAAACTGTGATATAAATCACCTTTTTATGAGAAAATTTTGATCATTTTGTGAGGAAACATTCAGTCCTGCAGAAGAAGTGGGCCGCCTAGCCTCTGACCTCCATCTTGTCTCTTTAACCTGCAGCTTCAGCATCCATCTGGAACACGGAGACTCTCAGCCAACTCCTCCGACTCCAACACGTGCTAACTGATTGGTTTTTCCAGATCAATAATCAGAGTCACATAAACGGCGTCAGCAGTCGGAGCCGAGGCAGACAGACAGACTCGGAGCTGCAAGGAAACGGGACGATTCTCTGCAACTTTACGGCCCTTTCCCGGAGCGGAGACATTTTATTGGGAGGATGATCCAACATTCCGGTCAGTGCTCCGACTTTCCTCCTGTTTACTGTGAGATCTGATCTATAAAGCTGCATTCAGAAGCTCGATCAAACAGCCACATTATTAATGGAGCCATGAGTTTCTACAACAAGTTAATGGACTGTGTTTAAGGAAAGATGGATTCACCTCGCAGCTGAAACTGAACAAATACTCTGGTGTGTCAATAAATATGCAAAAGCAGGAGGAAAGAAAAAGATCAGAGCCCAAAGGACAAACAGGAAAAATATCTACTCTGCAAAAGAAAAGGAATTATCTTGATTTAGCTGATGCAAAAGAACCAAAACTGTCAAAATGTGTGAATAAATATATCATAATAGAGCTTAGGTTTCTTTGTTTATTTTACAAAAGACTTAGTTATTAAATGAAAGCATAGATGAAAGAACCCAGAGGAAGTGGTGATTTTATGTGACAGCTCTACAAGTCTGTGTAAAATGAACAAATGAGTGAACATATTCTTCAGCTAAGCACCAGAACAAAAACCTGGCGGTTCTGTAAGAAGTTAAAACACTGAGTAGATGTTTGAGGGTCTTCCACAGACTCTGCGGTTCTGCTGGACTTCTCTGATTATGGCTTCACCATCTGACATAAACTGCTGCAGAGGCTCCAGGCAGATTCCAGCTTCCAGGACTCAGTTGTCATCTTATTAATTTTCTCCCTTTGTTGCGGCAGTAAACAAACGGTCCAGCGGGCCTGAGCAGGGCTGGGGTGCAGCAGGGGGATTTCTAATCACATGAATGCAGCACAAAGACGAGGAGCAGGCGGTGGAAAGTTTTATCACAGAGACAGGAGATGGAGGGCAGGAGACAAAGGCAGTAGCAGATGTTGGGCCTTTTATCGCCTCTGAAAACATCCCAGTCTGGAACAGATGAAAGAGCCCAAGTTTCCCTCAGATCCAGGACCAGTTGGTAAACAACGGATCCATTTGGCTCCGAGAAGACACCATACACACAACCCTCTGAGCAGAATGCTCGTGAATGTTTTAGAGCTGGTTTGATGAAGTTTTTTTTAAGTCTCAATGTGTTTTCACAGGTGAGGAGCCGTCAGGTAACTGAAGTGACAGATTAGTGTCACGCAGCGTTTGATTTAGATCTCAGCATGCACCAGACGGGGGGACACCATCCTACTGCACACAGGAGAGGAGCTTATCCTCTGTCTTCTTTGATCAACCACATTATCTGGTCAAGGGAACATAAACACCACCCGTCTGGGGTTGCAAGTAGGTTGAACCAAACGAGACAATGACATCAGCAGCTTCAGCTCCTGAAACACTGCAGAGCTCTTCAAATCTCAGGTGGAACCCAGAGGACAACGGGCCACAGTCGGATCGGTGAAAAATCTTCTTCTAAAAGTTTGTTTTGCTCAACTGCACATCCCAGAGGGGTGGATTAACAGGGACAAAACTAAAAGGGTTTGAAAGTTCAGCGAAGACGGAAAAAAAGTTTACTGATTTTACTGCTGGGAGAGTATCAGATGGTTTAACATGGGAAGGTCCAGATGTTACAGTAGATGTTCCAGGTCTTCCAGGTGTTTATATTCCAGGTCTTCCAGGTGCACAGCAAATGACACCTCAGAATATTTTGGCATATTTTTATATATTTGCTGATAAAAAACATTTTTCTTCCATGTAACCAGTTAGCTGACTTCTTGAAATTGTTGTGATAGAAGTTTGAGGGCTTGTTTTACTCCATATTTTGTATCAGAGGGGTGGAGTTTGCTTCTAAAGAATCATTATCAAGTTGATAATCAGGTTTTAAGTTTCCAGTGACTGATGAGGTTTGTTTATGAGGCACAGAGGAGATAAGCTCCAGCCGTCTGGGGTTAAATGTGAGTTCAATAAACAAAAGTGATTACATCAGGAAAAAATAAACACTGGCTTTACAACTTTAATCGCTAATTTACACGTAGAACATTTAGAATACGTTTCACTCACCTGGGGTCTCATTTATCAAACATTGCGTAGAATCCTTACTAAAACCGTACTTAAGCTCAGCAAAAAATATGTACTTACGCCAAGTAGGTTTGTGATCTATCAAACATGGAGTACACACAGCTGCACGCAATCTCCGCTTCATAAATCGGAGAATAACGAGAATGTTTCTCAGCTGCATTTTAGTCACATCCCGCCCTCACCACTCCCACTTACTGCCATAAATAGTCAATGCAAAGCGCCTTGTGGATCTCATACATATACATAAGCCGGCTGTTGCAGCGCTCCGCCAATGACATGGCGACCGTAGATCAAGGCAGATCAAGGAGGCGCAATTTCACAGAAGCAGAAATTGAGGTACTTGTGGGTGAGGTGCAGACATGAAAGGAAGTGCTTTTGCAAAACAAATAAGAGAAAATCCACGGAGTGGCACATCGTTGCTGAAGCCGTCAATGCTGAGTTCTTCAGAGAGATCTGTGGCGGACATAAAAACGATGGTCCAATCGGGATTCGATCCCCAGACTCCCAAATGAAAGTCACACGTGCTAACCAGCCAGCTAAACAGAGATCTCCCCTGTTCAAGTAGCCAGGGCTCATGATCAATCGGGTCACAGTGACATGACACACACTGTCACAGACGCACGACATTCTGTCTCAATCTGTCCCCCTGCTGACAATCTGCATTCCGTATTCTGCGCTTCAGGCTGTATGTGTGTGTGTGTGTGAGTGTGCGCGCATGTGTGTGTATGCGCACATGTGTGTGCATGTGGGAGGTCTTGTTCTGTGTGTGTGTATGAAGCAGTACAAGTGATAATGCTGCAGGATTTCATAATGTTATCCTTCTCAGCAGCAGCACTGCAGGTGCTCTCCATGTCCAACATGTGCGTAAGCAAGGTCCTTGGTCAACTTAAAGTTGTGCACAGTTTTCCACTAAGTTTTCTTTCATAAATTCCAAAGTTTGCGTGGAAAGTTGCTTACGCAGTTTTCCGACCCAGTTTTGGACGTAAGCAAGCTTGTTAAATGAGGCCCCTGGCCATGCTGGATGTTGCTCAAAAAGAATCAAAGAAAGTTTAGTTTCAGGATCTTTATAAGAATGTTTTGTTTTCTGATTTTGGTACTTTGCAGTCTAACCCCACCCGCCAGAGGGGCTCCAGGAAGGGCATTTTAAACCAACACTTTAAACAGGAGAATGGAGATAAAAGCTTTTTGTTTTAATTTGTTGTCAAGCTCCTCCCTCCTGGCACCCATGGTAGGCCAAATCAAGTGAGACTGATGTCATCACTGCTGGCAGGGGGGACAATGAAAGAGGACGTGAGGGGCACAGTGAGGTTGGACTGTGAAGAAGGACCATTTTATGAGTCTGGGGACCAGGCCAAGTCCAGAAGTCCAGAAGTGGAGTTTAAGTTTCCAGCTCCAGAGGAAATGATACTTCTGAGGTCGGCTTTCATCCTGTGAACTTTAGTCAAGTGTTTTATTTAGAGGATGGAAGAACAGGCCGATTGTTTCCTTCCTGAAGCTCCAGCAGGAGCAGAGGTCCACACAGAGAAACCCGGTCCAAACCTTTAGCTCAGCAGCAGGACCTGTAAGGAAACTACCTGCCCTTTAGAACCCTTAAGGTTCTGGAGACATCCCTGTGTTTAAATTAAAAGCAGCTCTAGGCGATCCGGCTCTTCCAGAACCTACAACTGAGACCAGGTTTCTACGTGGAGCCCAAATCCGGATCCTGAGTTGTAAAATCAGGTTTCAGAATTCCCAGCTGGACCCTGAGAGCCTCCGAGTGACGTTTTACCTTCAGACGGGTCCAAGCGACGAGCACGGCGGCCATGTTTGGAGTTATTGTGGACGAACATGTTGTCTGACACGGCCAGGACGTGACCATCCACGTTGACTGTAGTGGACACCACCACCTAAGGAGGACACAAGACTCTGTCACCGAGGCTCACCAGACTAGACCAAATGTTCAATGGGTCGTACCTGGAACCGTCGCATGTCTCGAGGGTTTCCTGCATTTTTCAAACAGTTCTGGTTGCATTTGAGGAAAAACTTCAAGAAGAATCTGAAACAGAAAAAGAAGCCTGGTTTTTCTTTTCAGATCTAGTGCAAACACAGATCCAGGATCAGAGTAAACATGAATCAGTGAAAACCAGATTCAGGGAAACCAGAATAAAGGTTCACTCAGGTGCTTCCACCAGAAATGAAAAATGGGTCTTCTGAGAATAAATTACATTAAAAATATTTGTTAAATAAATATTTTAAAGTCACTTTAAATTAAAATCAAGATTATATTTCATTAAGTGAAACTCTGAAGGTAAATAAAACAATAAATGCAGGATTAGAGGTTCAAGAAGAAAATGTAATCTGTATGTTTAATAATTCCAGGACTGAACACTGGTTTAATTTAGAACAGCTGACTTTGACAGGAAGTGGTGCTGCCTCATTGAACTCTGGATGCCAATGGACTCTTCCCCCTCTCTTTATCTGCTCGCTGATGACATTATCTCTACGTGGCGGCGTCTTAAAGATGACCCACTCTTCCTACAGACTGATGGCGTCTCTTTTGGAGCCGCCTCTCTCTCGCCACGCTGATTTACACCCGTTTCCATGGCAGTGCAAAAGTATTGATTGGGAATGGATATCAATGAGGATGGTTGGTAATAACTACCAGGAGGATGGGGGGGTGGGGTGGAGTGCTACCTTAATGCTACCCCCCCCCCCCCCATGCTGCTGTATATTCAGCTCTCATCCATCTCTGATCCCCCCCCCCCCACCCACCCACCCCACCCACCCCCACTCTGATGGAGTGCTTCCTCTTTAATTGCCACATTATCGCAATAATAATCCAAGCAGTTAACAAGCAGCAAGGTCGCAGACAGACATGTCACATTAACCAGGGGATAACCTCCTCACAGTCCAGCCCTTCACCTCCTCCTCCATGCTGGGAGAGCACCAGGAGGAGGAGGAGGAGAGTAATGTCTGTGAGTCCGATTTCCACCCTATTAAGACAGAAACAATAATAGTAAAAACACAAGAAAATCTGACCTGAATCTGACTCCAAAATCACTTTTATCTAAAAAAAAAAAAAGGACAAAATCTAGTCTGAAGTAGCTCAGGTGTTTTAGGTTGGTTAGGTAGGTTAGTTCACTATGTGATGTTAACAACGTTGGGGTTTTTAACTCAACTGTTTTAATAGGAAATGTTTTGGCCTTTTTTTTTTAAATAAAATTAATTGATTTTAGATCATTTGGCAGCAAAGAAATTAAGTGTAACTGGGAAATGTTTCTTATTGTGCATATGACAAAAGCTTTTAAATTCTTCTAAACTGTTTCAAATAGACAGATGCTTATATCAAAGTCCCATTCGTCATCACACACGGGTGAAACTATCTGGGGGTTGAACCCCCCAGTTCAATCCCTTAAAGCTGAATGTCAAGCAGGAGGCATTGAGTCCCATTTATAGAGTCTTTGGTACGACCCGACAGGATTTTAACTGCAAACTCCCAGTCCCAGGGAGAACACTCTACCACTAGGCTTTTATAATCCTGCATATTTAGGGGTCTCACACAAACACACACATGTAGCCATGCTGATGCCAATTGTGGCTTTTAGATGTTTGTGGTCATTTCTTAAAGTAAACTATTTAAGCTGATAAATAGCGAAGTTCAATAAGAACTGAACCATTGTGGTAATTTCCTTAACCACATGAATTTATCAGATTTTGTGAGAATCAACACCAACATGAATTTATCTGAAGGGAATGAAAACAAGTCACTTTAAAATCAATCAAATTCACCAAACATCACTGATCTCTAATGAATGCAGATTTGGGATTTTTGTGTATCTTGATTATTGAGTCTTGATTATTGAGTCTTGATTATTGAGTCTTGATTATTGAGATGGTGAAGGGATTTATTTTTTAGTTTGTCTCTTCGTTAGTTTGTTTGTTTGGCCGATGGCTGTCTAATAAACTGACTCCCAGCTCAGAATAAAACCATTTTTGTTTCTCATATCTATTTCTTTAGAAACCAACTTATCACTTAGAATGAATCTTTATAGTGTGTATCATCTGAAATGTCACCAGTTGTGTGTGTGTGTGTGTGTGTGTGTGTGTGTGTGTGTGTGTGTGTGTGTGTGTGTGTGTGTGTGTGTGTGTGTGTGTGTGTGTGTGTGTGGAGAGAGAGAGAGAGAGAGAGAGAGAGAGAGAGAGAGAGAGAGAGAGAGAGAGAGAATGAGAGAGACACAGAGAGAGATAGCAAGAGAGAGATTGTTGTTTTACTCCTGTACGTGTGGGAGCTTCGTCTGAAATCAGAACACCAGAACTCACCGTGTTTTTAATGATTTGAGTGAACTGAGCCTTTACAGAGAGGACAGACGAGCTGTGAGGTGTGTGTGTGTGTGTGTGTGTGTGTGTGTGTGTGTGTGTGTGTGTGTGTGTGTGTGTGTGTGTGTGTGTGTGTGTGTGTGTGTGTGTGTGTGTGTGTGTGTGTGTGTGTGTGTGTGTGTGTGTGTGTGTGTGTGTGTGTGTGTGTGTGTGGAGAGAGAGAGAGAGAGAGAGAGAGAGAGAGAGAGAGAGAGAGAATGAGAGAGACACAGAGAGAGATAGCAAGAGAGAGATTGTTGTTTTACTCCTGTACGTGTGGGAGCTTCGTCTGAAATCAGAACACCAGAACTCACCGTGTTTTTAATGATTTGAGTGAACTGAGCCTTTACAGAGAGGACAGACGAGCTGTGAGGTGTGTGTGTGTGTGTGTGTGTGTGTGTGTGTGTGTGTGTGTGTGTGTGTGTGTGTGTGTGTGTGTGTGTGTGTGTGTGTGTATCGACTGAAAGCTGATCTGCTGCTCTGGAGGCTCTAATGCCCTTTATGGCAGTGAACAGAATAATATGGAGCTCCATTCAGATGATACCGAGTCCTTCAGAGAGCTGATGTGGATCAATAGGGATTGAATTAAAACGCAGCTGGAGACAAGACCTGGGCTCGCTGACACACACACACACACACACACACACACACACACACACACACACACACACACACTGATACGTTGACCGTACAACAACAACATTCAGACTCTATTCATAAACCCTTTGGTCTTGTTGGAACTTTAGTCCTAAAACCGTTTCTATTAACAACAAACTGAATAAAATCTTATGTGAATAGTAAAAAAAAACATTATGAAGTAAAAAAAACTACATTATTACAAATATATTCATAAAATTAAACTTTTACTGTGATTTTTCTAAATATTCTAGTGTAGCCTGATGCTAAAGCTACAAAAAGTCAAATTTTAATGATCATTAAATGTTTTATGAACATTAATGATCATTAGAATCTCTCATTCAGCTCAGTTTAACTAAAAAAAAAACATTCAGACAAAGAAAATCAAAGACACAAACTAAAAACGTTTAATTAAGCATACGTTAAAATCAGCACAGCACATAGCTCAGATAGAGCATTGACCCAGCTAGGTCCCTCCTCCTCCTCTTACAAAGAAGATAGATGGGGTCTGTAAGCTGTCCCCTCATTCAACACATTCTCACACCCTAAGCGTCGGAAACAAACGCTTGGTCAGCCACCCTCCACGTCAGACCCCAGACGCCAAAAGTGCCCTTTTTCGTTACTTATGTGCGAAAAGGGGTTTTCCCCTTTTGTAACTGCAGATCCCAATGCAGCGTAAAACTGACGTGATTAGATATCCGCTGATGCGGCACCGAACCAGCTCATTTAACCGCACCTAAACCTTAACGTTTCACTATTTCTAACCTTCCCCTCTCCCTCATCCTAACCTTAACCCTCTTGCTACCTAAAACGTTACTCTCACTGTGATCAGGCGTTTGTTTCGCATGCATTCTGACTCTGACTGACAGTCAGTTTTCGTATTTGCCGCCCTGCGGGAACGTTAGAACATACCATCTGGCGAGGGGGAGGTTACACATACCCTCTACTTTTAACCTCCACCGTGGTAGTTGAAACCTCCCCCTCGCGTTGGCTCGGTCCAAACTCGACCAATGACGAGGCGCCTCCCGCCGTTCACTTCATAGAGCCGGCTTTTAGAGCGATCGACACATCACTAACGTGTTCGCTACCAAGATGGTTAAGGTTAGGATAGGGGTGAGGGGAAGGTTAAATAAGAGGACAAGGTTAAGGTGAGGTACAATGAGCTTGTCTGGTGCCCTGGCTGCAGACATCCCATCGCTTCAGTTTTACACTGCATTGGGATCTGCAGTCAAATAAGGGAAAAAACCCTTTTCGCACATAAGTAACGAAAAAGGGCACTTTTGGCATCAGGGGTCTGACGTGGAGGGTGGCTGACCAAGCTTGTTTTTGACGCGCTGGGAGTGAGAATGTGTTGCCTCATTACACCCAGTGCCTAGCAAACCACACAGAGGGTAAAAGGCTCCATGTTACACAGAAACGATTAAAGAGAGACTAGACAGTTTTGCTTGCTTTTAGCACTCCCTAGTGTCCTTTTAGTCGAACCAAAAGCAAAACCTCACTGAGCCTTCGTCTTTTTATTAAAAAGTTTTTAACACCTTAATCTAACAGCTGAAACGTCTCCCAGCCTTGCTTAGTGTCTGCTGGAGTGATTCCTCACTAAATCAAACAAATCAGACGTGTTCATGATCTAAAACATGCAGGAAACTTGCTGGAAGCAGACTGCAGCACCAGGTTTGTCAGGTCCAATCTTTTTCCAAGTCCAACAGACCGGACCGGCAACTGTGAAGTTGTAAGTGGAATATTCTGGCCACAGGGGGCGATAGGGGATGGATGGCCTTTCATAAACCCTGTAAAGGGACAATTTAGCACATGCTGGCTCATGAAAATGATTCAAAAAGATGAAAACGTTACATGGGATCTCTTTAACAATGGCACTCATTTAAGCTTCAGATCCAGAAAAATCACACAGACATCTGGTGGTCAGCAGAGACCCTCCAGAAGGGCTGACATGGTTTTATAACCAAAAACTGTACAAGCTCCTTTGAACCAAACAGACTTCTTGTTTGACAGAGTCTGATCAGATCTCAGGAGGTTCTGATCACATTTGCTCCTGGTTGTTTTGGG